CTATTGCAGATGCCCATAACCTTAGCATTGAATATGTTAAAAATAAATGGTGTTAGAGCAATATGTATTCATATTTCATTACTTAAATTTAAAAAGCAGGTTTACTTTAAGAAATGTATAGTTTGAAATCTATAGTTTGAAATCTATCTGTTTAACTTAAAATATACTTACACATATACATGAGAAATAGAAAGATATGTATTAACTTCAGAAATTCAATTAGCAAGTTAAAACTTACAGGTAGTTTTTTAGGCCTATAGCAATGTTTCCTTGCTTCAATAATATACAGGAAAATTTGAAGATTGTGCATGATATTTTCAAAGACATATTTTCCTTTGAGGTATCCAAGCCTATCTCAGGGGAAGAGATAGGAGATGCCTATGAAAGTTAGTTTTATTTTTATGCTTTGAAACTGTTTTGCTATCCTCAGAAAGCATCTCATTTCCTCTATTTCTCTTCAAAGCCTCCCTTGTATTTTCCTTATATTTTATTTAAACTATAGATGTACATTTGTTTTTTTTAAAGTGAATCAATTTATCTATATTTTCCCTTAATTATATAAACTAAGGATTTTTTTAAAAATACAAGCTGAAGGAGGCTAATACTGAAAGTCAATAATTTAAACAAAACAAAACAAAGAAAACAACATTAGTGGTTGCAATAATATGAAGGATGAAATATGAAGGAAGAAAGTACAGGCAAATTTGGGCTGATTTCTTCTCTTTTGGGAAATATCAGGGTATAAAAACAGTAGGATTGGGTGTTTATCTAGCTTAGAACCAAATATTGGGCTACCTCTACAACAAATTATGCAATAATAAACTATTAAGGCAATTTGTAATAACTCTTATTTTATATAACAAGATATATTTCACATCCATCTTTTATACAGAATGCTTACCACTCACAGGGTAAGTGAGCATCTGCTGTATGTTCTGTATAATGTTCTATGTAGTCTCACGTTTCCAAGGAAACACATTTTAATGAGAATACTTCCTGAATCAAAATTCTAGACAAAAACAAAACAAGCAAATTTTCCAAATCTGTTTATATGGTGCTTAGATGAATATGTTTAAGCCCTGCTATTCACTATTTGCTTAAATTAAATGTCCTTGCTGCCCTTCACATAAAAAAGCCCTGCATTCTGACATTACATAACCTATGTGAAAAATGCACACAAACCTTTTATATAATAGGTAGGTGGAAGTTGAACTTCTGAAAGTGTGGCTATAGTTTTTAAAAGAAGTTCAGACAGAGTTTGCCAAAACTAAATCAAGAAGTAGTGGTTGTTACCCTTTCATGAACTCTTTCTATTTCAAAGAAGAAACCATTAAGGTGCTTCTAATTTAGAACTATTGACCACATGGAGAATACTTACAAATATTCTTTAAGAAATAAAGGATTTTACTTCATTGACACTGTGAAAATGCTAATTATCCAAAGTTAAATAATTCAGTTCATCTTTTAATATCACTTGTTATTTTTTTAGTCATCAAAATAAAAATTGTTAATAGATATTGGAGTCCCACACTTTAAGCAAAAACTAATTATGTGGTTCAAATTTGTCTGATTTCATAAGTTTAGTTATTTAATAATACTGAATATAGAGAAGAAGCTATGAATTACTATTTTTATTAAATTTCAGAGTTGTTGATGCCAATACTGTAACATGAAATTATGAAATTTTTCTAAGTCTAGAAAATGTCTATTGAGAAATATATATTGTATATAAAGATTTCTCTCTCTTCATATATATAATGCATATGCTGAATGTGTATACTATATATATATACAATTAATTTATAAAGTTTAAGCTAGTATATATTTTTATGAGTTGAGACTTTGTTATTAAAAAGTACTTATATAGAAAAAGCTCATTTTCATTACCTTGTAAATATCCAAAAATCCACATTGGTGATCAAATCTGGTGTAAAGTTCATTGAGCATGCTGATCACCTGCATGGGAGTACACTGGGCACATATGGCTGTGAAACCCACAATGTCTGAGAAGAGCATGGTGACATCATCAAACTTTCTGGCCTGCACTTGCTGTCCTTGCCACAATTGCTGGGCTACGTCACCAGGAAAAATGGAATACAGCAGATCCACTGTCTTCCTCTTCTCTTCTTCCAGGGCCTGGTGAGTTCTTTCTAAGGTGGCCTTTAATTTATCCATCCTTTTCTTCAAGCCATCCTGGGCCTTTGCTTGTTCTCCTACTAAAATGACATCTCGGGTAGCATCATGAATAGGAATATCTGAGAGATGTAGTCCTCGCCCCATGAGTTCATCCAACTTGTCCACACATGGAGAGCCCAAAAACAAAATGGCATTTGATTCTGGGACATGGATCATTTGTCCTTTGATTTCCATCACCTGTGAAATGGACATGCAATTTCGATCAGTCTTTCTCATAAGCAGGCCAAAAAAGTAGTATAGTACTGGATGACTAAGAGGAACAGAAATAATTCCATTACTGTGCAGATTTTCACTAGCAAATTTTCAGCTTATTCAAAATATGTATAAGTGTGTTGGTTTTGAATAGAAACAACTGCTTTGTTGTGATGGGATACAAAATGATATCAATAAAGATTAAATAATAAAACATTTTTATTCAAGATGGAATTATTCCCAAATATATTGCTGAACTGGCACATGAAACAATGCAAAACTCTTCAGTTTAATATTTAGCAGAATCAGGAAAAATCCACATGTTAAATGCCAGCGCTTGTCATTAAAATAACACTCCCTACTAACTGTGCAAATGCTATGTTCCTCCTACCAGGCTCCCATGGACTTACTTTCCATGTTTGCTAGACATACAACTCAAACTATACTGTCTCAGCAAAACTTCTCCTTCCCCCACCACCTGAAATCGCCTATCCTTGTCAAACCCCAAAAGCAAGGGACTTCAAAACAAGCCCTCTTATCCATTCTAGTAATCCACCAAACATAACTTGAGATTTAGTATTTGCAAAAATTTTAAATAAACTTTTAATACCAAAAAACAACTCAAAGTCCCCAAATTTTTAAGTGGAACTTCAGTATTGATTTTTGTTAAAGTAACTTATAGAAAGCAAAGCACTGAAAATGCTTAGATGGATGTAAGCATCCCATAAACATAAAAGGTTTGGTCCTGGCCTTATAATTAATTGGAGGCAGAATTACACATGCAAATCTCCATTAACCAGTGTCAAAGACCACAGAGTTTATTAAACTCCAAGGAGAGAACATCAAGTACATAATATAGCTAAAGATGCCTTGCCTAGCCATGCCCCCACGGGACCCAGCAGTGATAAAAATTAAGCAATAAACAAAAGTTTGACTAAGCCATGCCTCTTTAAGGATTGATAAATTTTGTGCCAGTCACTGCAGTCATACGATTCATCCAAACTAAATATTCTCAGCATAAAATGTGTTACTAGAAGACTAAAAAATAGTATTAAAATTTATTCAATATGTGAAAATTCATCGCTGGACCTAGAACCAGTGTTGAAAGTAATTCTAATGTACTCGATACACGGTAGCTAAAATCCAAACTGGGATTGGATACTCCTCTATGCTTAGCCCTAAACTTCAATAATTATCAAACAAAAATATTTGCCTGAGAACTACTGGCCAAAGCTTAAAACTCAAAGGACTTGACGATACTTTATATCCATCTAGAGGAGCCTGTTCTATAATCGATAAACCTTGTATACCTCACTACCCCTTGCTAATCCAGCCTATATACCACCGTCTTCAGCAAACCCTAAAAAGAAACAAAAGTAAGCAAGAGAATCACCATAAAAATGTTAGGTCAAGGTGTAGCCAATGATGTGGGAAGTAATGGGCTACATTTTCTTATTAAGAACATTATGCTACCCTTTATGAAACTAAAGGACAAAGGAGGATTTAGTAGTAAAGTAAGAATAGAGAGCTTAATTGAATTGAGCAATGAAGTACATACACACCACCCGTTACCCTCCTCAAAATAAATTATATATATATATATATATATGTATATATATATATACATATATATATGTATGTATACACACACACACACTTGGAATAATCATGGTGTGGCTTAACCCTAGCAAAGCATCTGGTCTACACCGAGAAGACTCCACAACCAATGGAAACCATGAACTAAACCTAGCCCTAATATATATATTTAATTCAACTATAAATGACAATAAAACAAAATATTTGACAAAAGCAAATAGTGGAGAAAGAAAGCTAGACTAGAAGCTATAGAGACAGTACTGCAAAGGAAAGATGAAAGATCAATTAAAAGTAAAAATAAGCAAAAATTAAACCTTGTACCTTTTGCATAATGAGTTAACTAGAAAACTTCTAACTAAGAGATCTTAAGCTAGACACCCCGAAATCAAACGAGCTACCTATGAGCAGTATAAAGAACCAACCCGTCTATGTAGCAAAATAGTGGGATGACTCCTAGGTAGAGGTGAAAAGCCTACCAAGCTTGGTGATAGTTGGTTACCCAATAAAGAATTTCAGTTCAACTTTAAGATTACCATAAGAAATCAAAATCAAAATGTAATCTTAAATTTTAGCCTCAAGATGGACAGCTCTTCAGGAATGGAAACAACCTTTTATAGTGAATAAACCTTAATTCTCAGACCATTATTAGCCTAAAGGCAGCTACCAATAAAGAAAGCGTTAAAGCCCAACACTCTTAACATCTTAATACCATAAATCATAATGACTTTCTATAAATACTAATTGGGTTAATCTATAATTATATAGATGAAATACTGTTAACATGAGTAACAAGAACACTGTTCTCCAAGCATAAGCCTATAACAACCTGGATAATCATTGTTAGTTAACACCCCAGGTGAAAATACTCCTAATAAAAAACACTTGCACTCAAATTGTTAATTCAACACAGGCGTGCCATAAGGAAAGATTAAAAAAAAGTAAAAGGAACTCGGCAAATGAAAATCCCGCCTGCTTACCAAAAACGTCACCACTAGCATAAAAAGTATTAGAGGCACCGCCTGCCCAGTGACAAATGTTAAACGGCCGCAGTATCCTTACCGTGCAAAGGTAGCATAAGCACTTGTTCCTTAATTGGGGACTGGAATGAATGGCTCCACGAGGAAGTAACTGTCTCTTACTTCCAATCAGTGAAACTGACCTTCCCATGAAGAGGCAGGAATAATATAATAAGATGAGAAGACCCTATGGAGCTTTAATTTACTAGCTTAACTTTTCAATTGATAATCCTATTGGACCAAATAACAAGAAATAAGCCAGTAATTTTGGTTGGGGTGACCTTGGAGTATAAATCAACCTCCAAATGATTTTTTAACTGAGACTCACAAGTCAAAGTAACTAAAATCTAATTGATCCAATTTTTTTGATCAACGGACCAAGTTACCCTAGGGATAACAGCGCAATCCTATTCAATAGACAATTAGGGTTTATGACCTTGATGTTGGATCAGGACGTCCCAATGGTGTAGCGGATATTAATGGTTCGTTTGTTCAACGATTAAAGTTCTACATGATCTGAGTTCAGACCGGAGTAATCAGGTCAGTTTCTATCTATTAACCATTTTTCCCAGTACAAAAGAACAAGAGAAATGGGGCCTCCTTAACCAAAGCACCCCAAAACTAATATAAGAAACTATCTGTTTAGTAAGTTTGTACCATTATACCCTAGACAAGGATTCAACTAGGGTGGCAGAGCCAGGAAATGGCGTAAGACTTAAAACCTTGTCCCCAGAGGTTCAAATCCTCTCCCTAATAGTGTATTTCATTAATATCCTAACCTTCCTAGTACCACCAGTATTAATTGCCATAGCATTTCTCACTTTAGTAGAATGAAAAATTCTAGGTTACATACAATTACAGAAAGGACCAAACATTGTAGGACCTTACGGAATCCTCCGACCATTCGCAGTCACAATAAAATATGTATTAAAGGGCCTTTACGACCCCTAGCCACTTCCACAACCTTATTTATTATTGCCCCCTCCTTATCCCTCTCGCTAACCCTAAGCCTATGAATTCCACTCCCTGTGCCACACCTCTGAGCAGTAGTACAAACAATCTCATATGAAGTAACAATAGCAATTATCCTCCTATCTGTGCTCTTAAAAAATGGATCATTTTCAATTCAATCACTTATTTACACACAAGAACCACAGCTTGACCCCTAGCCATAATATGGTTCATCTCAACCTTAGCAGAAACTAACCGAGCTCCTTTCGATCTGACAGAATGGAAATCAGAATTAGTCTCAGATTTCAACATTGAGTATGCTGCTGGACCATTTGCACTATTCTTCATGGCTGAATACATAAATATTATTCTAATAAATGCCCTTTCAACATTGTATTTCTAGGCCCATTTCACAATCCGTATAACCCAGAATGGTATACCACAAACTTCATAATTAAGACCCTAATTTTAACCACCCTATTCCTATGAGTTTGAGTCTCCTATCCACGATTCTGATATGACCAACTAATGCACCTATTATGAAAAAACGTTCTATCCTCACCCTGGCCTTCTGTATATGACATATCTCGATTCCAATCTTCATAGCAAGTATTCTTCCTTCTGAAAAAAGAGTTACTTTGATAGAGTAAATAATAGAGTTTTAAAACCTCTTATTTCTAGAACAATAGTAAATGAACTAATACCTGAAAATTCAAAATTCTCCATGCTACCCATTACACCCCATTCTACAAGTAAGGACATCTAATAAGCTATTGTAACATGAAAAGGCCGGGCCTGGTTGTTGGGGTTCTTGTCCTGCCCAGTTCCCCCAGCTGTTTAGTTCCAGAGAAAAATCACACAAGAGATCTCTATAAGTTATAATGCTGATTGGCCCATTAGGTCAGGCTACTTATTAGCTAACTCTTACATCTTGATTAACCCATTTATCTGGTCTATTTTAGCCATGTGGCTCAGTACCTTTTTCAGTGGGGCAGCTCACATCCTGCTGCTTCGGTGATCTGGGCAGGAGTGGGAGGAATCAACTTCCTCCTCCCCAGAATTCTCCTGCTCTCTTTGTATCATTTCCACTTCCTGTCTGGTTTTCTCACCTACACCTCCTGCCTGGCAAATCAGTGTTTATTTAAAACATGATTGACAGAATACAGACAATTCTCCCACACCACTTCCCCCTCTTTAAAAAAAAAAGGAAAATATCCATAGTCCATTTTTTGGGAATGTGGGCATAGTATTCCAGGCTACTTTCAGCTGGTTGGGGTCACTGATAATCTTATGGGGACCTAAAGAAAAATTTAGAGTTATGATCAAGTCCTGACTGAAGTATCCTGTGAGTCTTGATCATCTCAGGCAGCCATCTTGAACCTGTTCTGGATGAAGAACTCAGACATCTGAGCCATCTGTTCCTACTGGAGATTGCTCAGGTGGTCTCCCTTGGTCAAAGATAATTTTTCTTAACTCTGAATAAATCCAGAGCCTCTCGTTTTCTGTGGAAACAAAAGCAAACTCTCTTCTCCAAAGTAACATACCTTCTGACTTCAATTTTGAACCCAAGGTATTTTCAAAATACCTATCTTGGATTAATTCTGCAGCATTTATAAGCAAATATCTTTTAGCAGCTGTTGCTCCTTCCTCAGCATTTAAATAATTCAAAGAGAGCATAATAGCATACAGTATCAATATTCCCTGTATATTTTCCATCTTTACATGGCTTTATTTTAATCTCTATTTCTTTTATTTTTACGTTTAACTTTTGGCTTTTTGAGACAGGTTCTCTGCATATCTTTGTCCTGGAATTCCCTCTGTAAACCAGGCTATCCTTAAACTCCCAGAGATCCGTCTGTCTCTGCCTCCCCAGTGCTGGGATTAAAGGTGTGTTCCACCACAACCAACTACTCTTTTTCTTTCTTTTTTATTTTAAGGCTTTATACCTTTTTTCTTTCAAGCATGCATATATTTTTAACACACTGTAAACCATTTAGAGGTTTTCTTACTATTTGACTCTCTCTTTACTGTATATCTCTCTCTTTTTTTGACCATGTGGGTCTTTAATTTGCTAAGGAATATGGAGAAAATAACATTCAAAAGCTCTTAAGGTATTTCAAGGTCCTTGCCAGGAAGCAAGCTGCAACAGTGTTTCCATAGTTGGGACTGCCTGCTTCAAAGAGTGAGTTTTCCCTGGCAGGATGATCCAGAAAGCCGGCATTTTAAAACAGGGCAGCTTTTTTCCTGCTATGGCTGAAAACTGAAGTGCTTTACTCTAGTCTTTCTCAAGCTTTCTCAGGCTTTCTGTGGATGCAGTTATCCACATTGGGTGCCATTCTGTAAGATGAAAAGGCCGGGCCTGGTTGTTGGGGTTCTTGTCCTGCCCAGTTCCCCCAGATGTTTAGTCCCAGAGAAAAATCACAAAAGAAATCTCTATAAGTTATAATGCTGATTGGTCCATTAGGTCAGGCTACTTATTAGCTCTTACATCTTGATTAACCCATTTATCTGGTCTATTTTAGCCATGTGGCTCAGTACCTTTTTCAGTGGGGCAGCTCACATCCTGCTGCTTCAGTGATCGGGCAGGAGTGGGAGGAATCAACTTCCTCCTCCCCAGAATTCTCCTGCTCTCTTTGCGTCATTTCCACTTCCTGTCTGGTTTTCCCACCTATACCTCCTACCTGACCAATCAGCATTTATTTAAAACATGATTGACAGAATACAGACAATTCTCCCACACCAAGCTATCAGGTCCATATCCCAAAAATGTTGGTTTAAACCCTTCCCATACTAATTAATCCAATCACATTTCTAATTATTTACTTTACAATTCTAATAGGACCTATAGTCACTATACTCAGGTCCAACCTATTCATTATATGAGTTGGCCTAGAAATAAACCTATTAGCCTTAATCCTCCTAATAGTTAATAAATCAAACCCCTGCTCTACAGAGGCAGCAACAAAATATTTTCTTACTCAAGCAACCACCTCAATACTCCTTTTACTTTCCATCATTATAAACTTCAAACAACTAGAACTATGAACATTCCAACCTGAAACTAATAACATCATCATAATAATGACCCTTATCTCTTGAGCAAACTATGATTAGCCCCCTTCTACTCATGACTATCCGAAGTCACACAAGGGATTAAACTCAAAGTAGGCCTAATTCTTCTTACATGCCAAAAAAACGCCCCACTATAAATCCTATTCCAATTCTATGAACTAATGGACCCTAAAATCGTAATTTTATAAACCATTATTTCAGTACTCATCAGATATGAAATGGACTAAACCAAACACAAACACAAAAAAATCATAGCCTACTCATGTATTGCCCACATAGGCTGAATAATCACTGTTCTATCATATAACCCATCCCTCACAATTCTAAATCTTCTAATCTATATTCTCAAACAGTCTCCATATTTATAATCATTCACACTCACTCATTCACATCTATCACCTCCATATCACTTATGTGAAATAAAATACTGATAGCACTTCCTATGATCTCATTAATCCAATTATCAACAGGAAGACTTCCACCACTCACAGGATGTCTGCCAAACTGGACTATCATCACAGAACTATTAAAAAATAATAACCCAATTCTAGCCACATTAATAGCAATAACTGCCTTAATTAACCTATTCTTCTACACCTGACTAATCTACTCAACCTCACCACATTTCCCACAAATAATAACTCCAAAATATACATTCATCAAAACTACACAAAAACCAATAATATCCTATCACCATTAATAATCATAAGCACAAAAATTCTCTTCTTATCCCCACCCCCGCTACTATAAGCAGAAGTTTAGGATCCTCAGTCCAAGAGTCTTCAAAACCCTAAGCAAACCTATAAAGTTTAACTTCTGATAAGGACTGCAAGATTACATCTTACATCTAATGAGTGCAAATCAATCATTTTAATTAAGCTAAATCCTCAACTAGATTGATATACCTCAAACCTATAAACTTTTAGTTAATAGCTAAACTACTTCTCTCTTCTATCAGAAAGGGGGTGGGAGAAGCCTTAGTAAAGCCAGTTCTCTATACCTTCGAATTTCAATTCAATGTGATTATCCCCTTAAAGCTCAGTAAAAAGAGGCTCTATCACCTGTGCTTAGATTTGTCTAATGCTTTACTCAGCCATTTTACCTATGTTCATTAATCACTGATTATTCTCTACAAATCACAAAGACATTGGGCCCCTATACTTTTTATTTGGAGCCTGAGAAGGTATAGTAGGGACAGCCCTTAGTATCTTTATTTGAGCAGAACTTGGACTATCAGGTACCCTATTAGGCGATGACCAGATTTATAATGTGATTGTCACAGTCCACGCATTTGTCATAATTTTCTTCATGGTTATACCAATAATAATTGATTGGTTCAGTAACTGATTAGTTCCCCTTATAATTGAGGCACCTGATATAGCATCCTCACGAATAAATAAGCTTCTGACATCTACCCCCATCATTCCTTCTCTTACTAGCGTCATCAATAGTAGAAGCCAGAGCAGGAATAGGTTGAACTGTGTTCCCCCCCATTAGCCGGTAATTTAACACACGCAAGGACATCAGTAGACCTAACTATTTTCTCCCTTCATTTAGCAGATGTGTCTTCAATTCTAGGGGCAATTAATTTTATTACAACAATTATTAATATAAAACCACAGGCCATAACACAGTATCAACCCCCCCTGTTTGTCTGATCTGTTCTAATCACTGCTGTCCTTCTCCTTCTCTCTCCCCCAGTGTTAGCTGCAGGTATTACTATACTTCTTACAGACCGTAATCTGAATACCCCTTTCTTCGACCCAGCTGGAGGTGGCAGCCCAATTCTTTACCAACACTTATTCTGATTCTTCTGCCACCCAGAATTACATATCCTTATCCTCCCTGGCTTTGGCACCATCTCCCACATTGTCAGGTAAAAAAGAGCCATTTGATTATATAGGCATAGTATGAGCCATGATGTCAATTGGTTTCCTACTTTACATCAGCCAACTGGAGTAAAAATATTCAGCTGACTTGCAACTCTACATGGAGGTAATATTAAATGATCTGCTGCAATACTATGAGTCCTGGGATTCATCTTTCTTTTCACAGTAGGAGTGCTCACGGGCATTGTACTCTCCAATTCTTCCTTAGATATTGTCCTCCATGATACATACCATGTAGTAGCCCACTTCCACTACGTTCTATCAATAGGCACTGTATTCATTATTATAGCCAGATTCGTCCACTGATTCCCATTCTACAGGTTACACACTAGATGATATATGAGCCAAAACTCACTTCGCCATTATACTTGTAAGGGTGAACATAACATTCTTCCCACAACACTTCCTAGGTCTATCCGGTCTATCACGACATTATTCCGACTACCTAGATGCTTACACCACAT